GAGAGAGAGAGAGAGAGAAAGAAATAGATAGAGAGAGAGAGAGAGAGAGAGAGAGAGAGAGAGAGAGAGAGAGAGAGACAGAATGGGTTGTGCGGGACACAGCAAGGTAAGACGGATAATATGTTGAAGGCGTTTGTTGAGAATTACGAGTAAAAGTAAAAGGGTCGGTGGCATTGAGTTGAGGATGAAAGGGTTAATGTAGTTGAGAGATGGCGTTAATCGAAGCGCTAAAAAAACAAACAAAAAAAAACAAAACAAAAACAACCCAGGAAAGGATAATTAATGTAGTTGACTGAAAGCTTTAAATAAGGGCGTGGAAAATAAGAAACGGGTTAATGTTGTTCGATTAAGGCGTCAATCATGGCGCTGAAAAACAAAACAAAAACAAGGACAGGGTAATGCTACATGTAGTTGACTGAAAACATTATTTTTTTTTATCATATTTTTTTTTCTTGGTAAGTGTTTTGCGGCGACTGCAACTGCTTATAAGGTCATATGAGCGCGCGGGACACATTCAACATTTTTAGTTGGTAGGAAATTTTGAATTTTGCCCTAGTAGCGGCCGAAGCCTACTCTTATCGATTTTAGACCACCAAGGGATCTTTAACGCGCGCAACTTGCACACGGGACCTCCGAAATTTTTCGCCCTTGTCCGAAAAGGCGAGGTGCAGACCTTTCCTACCTGAAGATCAGGAGTGCGCTGAAAGACAGCAGTAAGATGGAGCTAAGTGAAAGCGTTAATAAGGGCGTCAAAGGACAATGTTGCTGACTGAGGGCATTAATAATGGCTGGTGGAAAAGGAAGGAAAGGGTCGGTAAAGTGAGCGAAGGTGTGGCGTCGGCAGCAAAGTAGTTAAGCTACCGGACTCGTAATCGTAAAGTTGCGGGGTTCGGGAGTTCGAGCCTCGAACCCGACGTTGTGTCCATGGGAAAGGCACGTTACAGTACACTATTTTTTTCCTCGCTTCACCCAGGTGGGGAATAATGGGTAACCGATCAGAAAAAGCGAAAGATCGTGTCAGTGTGTTAGTGTTTTAGCACCTATAAAATGGCAGCTTGCAGTGTATGAGATTTACTTCAGGCCTGCCGCTGGGGGTTACAGATCGCAACCCTAGAACTACAACGTTCTATCTGCTTAGTTTAGTACCTAGTTTTGAGAATTTTGAAGCAAAAAAATGTTGATTTTCACATGTTATGCTTTTTTCAAATGAATGTCTTTGAATACCTTGATAACGACTCTGTGGGTGGTTGGCGGGTGCTCTGGTGTGGTTTGCTTCTTCTTTCCAATCAAACATCTATCGGTTTTATCTCCCCTCCTTCTTTTTTGTGTTTGTGTCTCTCTTGAAACACCTCTAATCTTCTGGCGCTCATAATCAATGACCATATTCAGTTGCGAGCGCCGTAAAACCTCCACTAAAACTAAAACTAACCACTCCGAATAATCTTACGACTTTCATAGAGCACATAGAGCATTTGTTTTCTGATCTCACAGTCGTAATAACCCAAAACGGCCAAAAATGTCACATAGAAATTTGTGATTCAGAGGAAGCGAGATTGTAAATAAAACGTATAGCGGGAATTTGCACTATACAAACGCTGTCTATTGTCATCATTATTAAGTAACACAATGTTGAAAGCTTCTTCGGTAATGAATACCTTAGGTTCAACGCATGCATGAATAGTAATTAATTATATTTATGGTCAATATGTAAATATACTGAGAGAACCCAGGTGTCATGGTGATCTTTATTGGAAGACGAAGCTATTCCGTGGGTGGTTAATGTGTGTGTATGTATATGTGTGTGTATATATGTGTGTGTGTGTGTGTGTGTGTGTGTGTGTGTGTGTGTGTGTGTGTGTGT